GATTTTAAATTTGAGTGCATCCAAAAAAACTTCTTATAATAATAAAATAAACTTATTAATTTATGCGTCTGAAATTTTTTTGGCGACTGTGTTGTGAATTTTCTTGCATACAAAAAATTATTGTGATATGTAGAGATGTAAAGAAAAGACAAAGAGAAGGCTAGGTGCCGACGGGTTTAAGATATTTTGGAAAACCGTATTTATGCTCTGATTTCTTTCAAATCCCTTAGTTGGCGCCTAAGTAAAAAAAAACTATATTCCACATACACTATATGTTTTATTCGTGTTAAAAATTCGTTTCAAAGTGATACTACAAAAAATTTTTTTCAATGGAAACTTTAGTAACGCAACGTCATGCAACGTCAACGTCAGATACTCGGGCTTTAAAAAAAGTCAGGAAAGATTTTTATATTTAAAAACTTGGGAAATTACTACGAAACAACTTATACAGATAGTCTTGCAAAATTCGCAGTCTTGCAATTTTCTAACCATATCGCACACCGTCTTCAAAAGAGCCACAACTCAAAATAATACGTTCGCCAAAAAATGCGAAAAGTTATTACGTAGCACATGCTAATCATACGGTTAGTTTTTTTTAACAAATTATAACCGAAATTTGCTCAAGCTTTTGCTGTTAGGTAAATAAAAGCTCTGTGTACATTTTTATCGCATAATTTCAAAAATGACAAATTTTGAGTAGTGACTCTTTGGAAGACGGTGTGCGATATACATATATAAATTTAGATTATATTCTCCGAATACTAATGGATGTACATATGTCCTGCGGGCAGGGCAGTCGAGAGAAATCTCGGGGCCCGGACTGATAAATCACGGTCCCCTATGCATAAATTGTATTAATTAAAAGAATGTGATCAATTGAGTATTTTCCATGAGGGGTTTCTTTAACGGATAGAGTCGGAAACAATTAGCACGAATCAGAATATATATATTGGCGATAAAAGCCTATAACGAAGTAGCAGTTTCTACCGGAAATATCGAACAATATTTGTTTNTGTGATCAATTGAGTATTTTCCATGAGGGGTTTCTTTAACGGATAGAGTCAGAAACAATTAGCACGAATCAGAATATATATATTGGCGATAAAAGCCTATAACGAAGTAGCAGTTTCTACCGGAAATATCGAACAATATTTGTTCCTATAATAAATTAAATTTTTTTTTATTAAAATTTTAATTATAAATATAAGATAAGCTGCCCGCCTATAGGTATCATAGCCCTTACCGTTTTTGAAAATTATTTTAATAAAATATGCGTATCAAAAAGTGAAGAAAGTCTAATAAATATATCGAGTTTTATAGTAGTATACTTATTTTTGATTACCCTTCAAAAATATCTGTCTGATCTTGTATTAAATTATATATTTATAAATATGTACCAAGAGTAATATACATTTCTTCTTTTGAATCTTAGCCTGCGGCGGAAATTTCACGGCGCGTTATGGGGTTATCAAAACCCCATCTTGGCCAAAACTTTACGACAACTCAATGGATTGTACTTGGACAATTAACGCTCCTATGGGTCGTAAAATTGAGCTTGCCATACAAAATTTTAGTGTGGAAACTACTTCTAAAAATTGCCACGATGACTATTTGGAAATACGGTAAGTACATTAATTAAGACTGGGTTGGAGAGTAATTTTATGTGGTCATACGTTAAAATAAGCTACATACATTTACCTACAGTGCTAAGTTCAAATTATTTCGAAATAAAAGCACAAATATTTTCGTGTATAAATTTTTGGAAATTTGGCCTTTAGTCCAACAAAGCAGAAATTGAACATTTTTGAAAAAAATACTCACCAAAATTTTAAACAGTTATTCAGAATATTTAGAAAAGTTTGAGGTATTAAAATTTATAGCCTATTAAATTGTAGATTGAAAAAATGCAAGTCTCAAGTGGCTAAAAATACCGTTGATTTTTTATAACTTTTTCCTGGCGGTGTCACTCATTTTCTTCTATACAAAGTATGCTCGACAATTTTTTATCCCTTTATCACTTTAGATGAAGATCCCTTATGATGATTCTTTTGTCCCTTCAAGGGCTCGATGTCAAAAACTACTTATGTATAAATGAGGTACAGTTTTAAAGTCTTTTAAATATTATTGAGGTTATGAATTATTGCTCCATTTTACCTTTTTACGCGCCAAAAAATTTAGAGTTGAAATTTGCAAAAACATCGATGTTGAGTGAAAAACATCGGTGTCAGCAGCTCATATAAAAACATCGATGCATCGATGTTTCCATCGATCAGCGTTGCCGTTATGTATATAATTTTCCATCGGAGTGCAATGAGCCAAAAAGTGGAGTGTTTTTGGGTTTTCCGTAGAGTCAAAATAAAAATGTTGACGAAGTATTCTTTTTAAATATAAAAAAAAAAAATATTTGTAATTTTGTTATTTTTTTTTAATATGGGTGGAGTTTTAAAAAAACTATATAAATCAAAGTTTCCAAATTTATACCAAATTAGGGACAGTTCAAAGAAATTTCATCAAAACTTTCAACTTTTTAATCTGTATGCAGTTTCATAGAGCATTCAATTTTCGTATAATGTTTTGCAAATTTGAAGTGGCTAAGTATTCGCGTTAGTCCCCTTTCAGACACGTCAAGTCTTGAAAGCAATTTTTTTCGCATTCTCTTTTGTGTTTTCTATTTGCTTCCACACGCGTCAACTTTAATTGAATTCAAGTCCTTGGTTCTTTAAATGGGAAGCAACGAAAAGATCAAAAGAGACAAGAAAACTTGAAACGAATTGACGGTACGGAGGTATCTGTACTCTTCCCCTCTCTTCTCACCTCCTTCGTCTACTAACGAGCAGACTTGAAAGCAAGACTTGACGTGTCTGAAAGGGGACTTCAGTTGTAATATTTTTTTTTTGCCAGGAGAGATGGTTGCCCTGAAAATCAGATGGTTGCTTAAAACGATAATATTAGGTTCATTCCTGTACGCAACGCGGGATCCCGCGGGTGCCTAAAACAGCCCAGAAGTCATTCTCATACTCAGAAAATGGGTAATAGAGCGATCGCAAGTATTGGATCGCAAGTGTCTTCTTCTTCCTGCCCGAAACAGCTTGGACTTTTTCTCCGGGTAGAAATTGATAAAGTGGCAAATTGCATATCAGGTGTTTTGTGTTTACATGTATTTTCAATCGTTATATACTTTTTTATTAATACAATGAAATTTGGGAAACAAAAATTAAATTTTCAACTGTTTTCATTTAAGTGCCGGTAACAAAAACCGAAATGTGGTTTTTCGCGTTCGCGTACTTCTGGACATTGTTCCATTTTTGAGAGAAAATTGTTCGCTTATTCTTTAATAACCGGATCTGATCTGGGTTGTACGGGAAAGAACCTATTATGAAATGCCTGGCCTAGACAAGGTGAAGAAGGCAAAAACATGCCCTTTTACAGGGTTGAGTGTAAGAGCGTGGTTACCTACGAAGGTGTACGTAGCGTAGCGGAGAAGTGACAGCTGACAAGTTCTCCGTTTTTACGTCCGTGGGTAACTGCGCTTTAACATCAAACTCATTTTGCACCGTGGAACAACATTTTTTGAAAGAAACGAAATCACCATTATTTTTTTTATGATCATATTATTGTTGTTTTAAACAGTGGGTAAGGTATTTGCAAATTATAATTTTTTTGCAAACAGCTTACTTATAAACTTAGTAGGTAGGTATTCATTTTTATGTGATGGTAAATATTTAATTCTTATAATCTCAAAATCGGAGTATTTTTGCAAGAGAGGGAGTGACGTAGTGTTCGGCTTAGAAAAGGAGTGAAACACTCCGATCGGAGTAAAATCGGCAACGCTGCCATCGATGTTTCTCCAGCTCTATTAAACGCGTGTAAATTTGATTACCGGCTTTTGTTAACAATTATTAACAATCCAATGATTTTCACTTTAAATAAAGAAGTATGTTTCAAACCCATTTATTTATTGTATTTGGTATTTAGGAGAGCTTTCCTAAAAAAAGCGTGTTTTTTTTACACGCATACGTAAGTATCTGCGCTTAAAATTGTGTGGAGCTCTAAGCGACAAACTTTATATGAGCTTACAATGTATATATGTTACCGGCCAAACCTAATCTTAGGAGAAACTAGTTTTCCCTAGGCTAAACTAGATCAGAGGCGACAGTACTTTTGCGAAGAACACTTTTCCGCGTAGGCGGCCTGTAGTCGTACTTCAAAAAAATAACCCTCTTCAGTCCAACCCTAAGTACGCAGTCCACAATATTGCTGCGTCCAACTTGTTTCCGCATTGAACGGATATATTAGATCTACGTAGAACTAGGTTAGCCTAGAAAAAACTAGTTTGTCCTAAGATCGGGTTTGGCCGGTAACATATACATACTAGGGATGTTGCGAATGTGGAATTTTAGACATCAGCGGATGCGAATGCGGATGCGGGTGTCTAACAGCTAACATCCGCGGATGCAAATGCGAATGCGGATGTCAAGTATTTTTAAGAAACAATTAGGTAAGTAAATTAAGTTACTTAGGTAAATGAAAAAGTGGAAAACTTAGTAATTTTTAATAATGTTTATTTTATTTAGTACTTGTACTTGAGTTTAAAGATTGGAACATTATATGAAATAAAAAGTATTGAGAATTGCATCGGGACCGAAAATGTCGGATATATACTCCTGACTTTCATCTTCACTTGAATAATCTAGCATAATGGCGAGATCGTTGTTTAAACAGTGGTAACAAACAAAACCATGTGTCTCAGGTTTTTCTAAAGCTTATTTAAAAGAATTCTTCATTCTCATTCCTTTGGCTGTTTCAGAATTTGGGGAGCCTGTAACGTCATCAGCGTTTTTTTTTTAGTTTAGATTTTGTAATTGATTTTTAATCTTCTGCGACTGGTTTGAAAAATTTGTGCTTACAGCGAGCTAAATAGGTGGATATGGAAAATAAATTGTTATTTCGCAGGAATAAAAATTTTGAACGAAATTCTGTTTTCAAAGTAGTGGCTTTCAGCCGAATCGGTTCAGAATATTGTTATTTTTTTTTAAAACCCCGTTTTTATAAGCATTTGATTTATTGGAATCACGGATGATGAGGGTCTCAGATAGTTAGGTAATTCTTACCTAATTAAAAGTTAGACCTATAGCCTTTTCTCTATATAGCCAGACGTTGACCATTTCTGCTGGAAATCCATATTGATGGAGCTTAACTTTGGCTTTAAAAAGCAATGAAGAGAGACGTAGGGGAGTTTTACCACAGAGGTTTTTAGCCAAGGATCCAAAGTAAATCTATATGAAAAAAAATATTGCCCGACAAGTAAACAAAATTACTGTTTTTTAAATTTTTCCTAAAAATAAATTTCCCAAATGATTGAAACGAATATATCGTTTTCTTAATTCGCAAAGGCCCTAACCAACACTTTTTTTCGAAACTGCATTTTTTACAGCTTTTGCTAGGATATTAAAACTAATTTTAAAATGTTAGTACCAAAAACAACAGAGTTATGCCACTTTTTAATATGCCCTATCCGTATGAATGATTTGATTTTTGTAATGCTTTTTGCTTCTCATGTAAAATAAACAATTTGCTGGTTAGGGCCTTTGTGAATTAAGGTGACGGTATGTAACATCAAAAGCAAATCAAAATGCAGGTATTTACACATAAAACAAAAAAATATTATTAAAAGGACTATGTTCTCTTTGACGTACGTCAAAGGTCAAGTAAAAGTGGGAAGAAATTTTTAACAAAATTGACCAGTTTTGTTAAAGAAATACTCCCACGACCAAAGGCAAAAAATATTGCCTGCAAATAGTCATTTTGTTTGCCAGATATACGTTTTATCTTTGCACTTGCATAACATTCGCATTCGCAAAAGCTTCGCATTGATAATTGCGAATGCGAATGTTAAAATTAATGCGGAAGCTCCGCGGTTGCGAATGCGAATACGAATATTCGCAACAGCCCTGATACATACATACATATTTATGTAAGCCTCTACCAGACTCGGTGCAATTATTGGCTTTAGTTTTTCATAGGCAAATAAATAAATAATAAAGATGATTGAAATCAGACAAAAACCCTTTTTTCCGCGTGACGGTAGTTTTCAAACAGGCGAACAAAGACAAAATAATTGCAAGTTACCGCTACTTATGCACCATCCTCTTCTAAAATATATGCAAATTTGTATATGGGACGTTCCATACCATAACGGACGCGGTTCACGCTTCATGTGTTTGATTTGTTTCAAATTTTTAGGGTTGATGCATAAACATAAATAATAAATAAATATAAAATTTGAGCTTGATTAGTACATTTCTAAAAACTTTACAGCACAAAAACAAATCGATTTAATAGTTTTCCAAATATCTCGAGAAAAAAAATTTAAAATAAAATTACACATACACACCTCAAAATTCTCCATGAAAAAAAATATTTAAAAAAAATTATTTTCTTGAAAAACTTTTCACATACAAATTTTTTGATAAAAAAAGTAGTTTTTGGAAATATGCCATCTCAAAAAAAAAAAATTAAAAAAATCACAATGGTACACTGAGGGAAAAAAAGGTTTAGAATTCAAAAAAATGTGCCAAAAATAAAAAAATACTCATATGAAAGAGCACCAACTCAACTCGTTTTAAATTTGAGTATGTACGTTGTAAAATATGTCATTGTGAAGTGCACAGATGCTTTTTGTAATTAAGAAGAAAAACAAATTTTTAATTTTATGTTCTGTCTGATGGTAATTGAACTCGGACCCTCTTGGCAGCAACCAATTGTATCAAGCGTCTTTGCACACTCAGCTCATGTGTAATGTAAATATGTTTTCAAATATTCGGTTTGAATCAACATCACAGCGCGCGATTAGTGCATTATCCCAGCCAGCAAAAAATCCGAAAACCGATCTGAAAAAGGACAAAAAAGTGGATGAAGTGCGGATTTTTGTCCGTTTACTGATTCCATTTCCGGATACTTTGACGATCCGTTTTCCCACTAAAGTGTGCGGCAGAAACGTATGTACCCTGCAGTGAAAACCCAAACCAGTTAGAAAAAATACTAGTTCATAAACTAGTATGTGCCTACCAGTTCGACATTTTCGAAGAACTTAAGCGTTCAGCGACATCTGCCTTTAAATTGCCAAAGCCTAAAATAAAACGCAATTAATTGCTTCTCTTACAAATGTCGGCTGTGGCGTCACGTGAAGACTACTGGTTCTGGTTCTGGGATCGCAGGTTCGAGGCCGCTTGGATGTGGTTAAGATTTTTAAAGTTAGATCAATGTAAGTAGGAATAATTATTTCAATTTAAACATAAAGAACAAACTTAAAAATCTAGTTGCATTACAAAAAAAAGAAACAAATATATGGGAAGAAATACAAATACTTGTTCCATAAAAAAATAGATTAAATAAAAAAAAATATTTTTTTTTTTAAATTAAATTTAAGAATAACAAAAAAACCCTAAATAAAAAATATGAATAAAAGAAATATTATAAAAAAATAAAAAAAATGTCCCTGCGCCCGGGCTTGAACCTGGTACCTCAGGCATACCACGCGAGTGCTTTGCTCTGTCGGCCATTGCGAATGTTGGAGCACCGCGAGCAAAAAGGAAAGGAATTGGCAGACTATCTCATCAACTGGTATGATGCTACTAGTATTTCTACTAGAAGATGCTTATGCATAGCCTGACAATTGACATCTCGTAGGACATCGCAATGTTAAAAATACCAGTCGCTAACATTGAAAAAGGATAGAACATGGACTAGTTGGGCTGAAACACAAACTGGTAGAATTCTAGTTCACAACTAGTAGCTTTCCCTGCAGGGTACAGACAACAATATGTGAAACGGATACGTTTTCGGCTGTTTTTTTCTGAAATTAGTCTGATAGAATTTTTCGCTCAATACGCTTTCCTTCTGCCCTTCACAGATACTATTTCATGGTTCTAAAGAAATAAAATAAAATTAGGAAGCGCCTGACGGAATTCGAACCCGGCACATTCTGTAAGCTAACGAACAGCGGCACATTCCTCTGCACGCTCAGCCACTGCCGACTACGCAGGTATGCTTTCAAATGTTTAGCTTAAGCAAATAAAATACAATTATTGCTTTCAAATGACATCATCTTTCTCGAACGTTTTCCGGCTACGAAAATTGATGATAACTTTAGGAGTTTTTTGTATGCGTTTTCGGATACGGAAAATTAAACTAAACTGCACTGTCGGCAAAATTTACGTTTGTTTGCTGGCTGGGATGCCATACCATGTGTGTGTATGTGTGTATGTGTTGTCACCGCTGTGCATGCTTTGTATACATATACTTTCTTAATTACATATGAAAAAGCATCCGAGACGTTCAAAACGCCATCCGTGCAGTGAAAAATGCTTCATTTTAAAACGGGCGTATTTGAATTGAATATTTCCATTATACGTAGTGTATGTATAATGGAAAAATCCATTTTTTTATTACTTTTCACTTGATTTAGGGCCAAATTCACAGTGCGTAGTTAACCACTGATAAGAGTTTAACTATTGATTTTCATATTCACAACGCTCAGTTAACAAAAGTTTAAACCAGCATGCCCCCATAGTTAAACTCTTGTGAAATAAATTTTTTGTTTGTGGAACGAATTTCAAATTTGAATAGAAAAGTATTGATTTTAAGAATTTGTATATTTTCAGGCGATACGAATTTCCATAGCTAACTATGTGACTCTGAATATAAATTCATAATTAAACTCTTGTTGGTGGTTAAGTTAACAATGGTTTAACTAAGCACTGTAAATTCGGCCCTTAAATACCAACATTTTTAAACGGTAATCAAATAAAAAAAATTTCATTTTTACGCGTTTTTTTTCCTCAGTGTATCTCTGAGTATTGCGCAATATTTAAGTGTAGTATTATGGGGTGCACTCTACAATAATTTGAGTTATGAATTTTTTTTTACACCGAAGTTGAGTAAAATTAGCACATTACAAATTTACAAATTTTTTAAATTTTTTTTCGAATGTTTTTGAGTATACAGTCTTATATATTTTCATAGAGAATTTTGAGGTGTGTATGTGTAATTTTTTTCAAATTTTTTTCCTCGCCCCGTTCTGGAGATATTTAGAAAAATATTAAATTGATTTGTTTTTATTTTTGTGCAGTAAAGTTTTTAAAAATGTATTAATCAAGTTCAAATTTCATATATATTTAATATTTATGTTTATGCATCAACCCTAAAAATTTGAAATAAATCAAACACATGAAGTGTGGACTCCGTCCGTTTTGGTATGGAACGCCCCATATGCAAATTTGCATATAACTCAGAAGAGGATGGTGAATAAGAAGCGGTAACTTTCAGTTATTTTGTCTTTGTTCGCCTGTTTTTCCATATAACACATGACCATTTTTTTATTTATATGAAAAGAAAACAGCAACACCCTCCACAAACAAGATTCTAAAAATCAACGGTAATTTTTAACGAATTGAAACTTGCACTTTCATATACTACAATTGAATGGGCTACAAAACTGCATACCCGAAAATTTTCTAAATATTCTAATTAAAAATTTGGAAATTTTGATGACAATTTTTTGAAGTTTGATTAGTTTTTTTGCAATTTGTGCAAGCTCTTAAACTTTTATTATTGTGGTTTCTGTTATAGATTGAGTTATATTTTTAATGAAAATTATTAAAAATAAATAAATAAACATAATTTGCAAACAATATGATTTTGAATTTCGTTGCTAATTACATACATACATATGCACATATGTATGTATGCATATGTACATATGTATGTATGTATGTGCGTATTTTCAATTTGACTGTCATATATGCCGTAACGCTTTTCTTTTAATAGAAATGGTGGGAGTGCAACATCACCTTTAATTGGTAAATACTGTGGAAGTAGTATACCAGCACGCGTACCATCCTTTGCAAACCATCTTTATTTGCATTTTGTGTCTGACTCGCGCATCTCCGACGCAGGATTTTACATTATATGGCAGCAAACGGAGACGGGTTGTGGAGGTAAACTTAACTCGTACCAGGGTTCAATACATTCGCCACATAATGATGATGTTAGCGCCGGCACAGTATCGTGTGATTGGCAAATAACGGTTTCTCATGGTTCTACAATTAAAATTAATATTACAAGCTTTGAGGAGCGCTCGTATTTATGCGGTCAGAATTTTCTAAAGGTATATGACGGAATAACCGTTAACAGTCCTCAAATTGATTTCACGTGTGGGAACAACAAAAATAAAGTTCAACTAAAAACTTCAGCAAATCAGGCTTTAATAATTTATAATTTCGCCGATAACGAAGTTGAAAGTGGATTGCGGTTCTTCATCGATTACGAGAGCAATTGTAATGTCAAGCTTGATAACTTACGTGGTGTGATTGAGTCGCCGAACTTCCCTGATAATTACCCTCCAAATCTGAATTGTTTCTGGGATATACAAAGCGGGAAAAAAAACAAATTTCAAATAATATTTTCCCATTTGGACATTGAAATTCGAGACCAATCTTGCGATTTTGACTATTTGGATATCTTTGATTTACAAAACGACGACGTACTCTCCAAACAGCACTTATGTTCGAATCCCCGCAAAGCTATAATTACGGAAGGTAATCGATTCCAAATAAAATTTGTCACCGATTACTCTGAACATGCAAAGGGGTTTCGCCTGGAATATAAGAGGATTGGTTGTGGGGAACATTTATCGGGAAATTATGGCGTTATAAAGACGCCTAATGCCCCTTACAGCATTGACATGAGTTGTGATTGGTACATCGAGGTTGCAGCTGGCAAAAAAGTTGTCCTTAACTTTGATGATATTCACATCGAATCTGCACGAGATGACTGCACTGAGGATGGTATTATTGTTTCAGAGGAAAAAAATTCTACCAATTATCTTCTAAGGGAGTGTCGAATAGATCAAGTGCCTGTTACCATTACATCACAAGCGAATCACTTATACGTTCATTTTTATACAAGTAGTTTTCGCTCAAGAAAATATATTTCCGGAACTTATAATGCACGAGACTCCTCTTGTGGTGGCATTTTCCGTGGCAACAGTGGCCATATATCATATCCGCCGCATGTCGATGCATCTAGTCTCAATTTGGAGTGTGTATGGCTAATCAATGTTGAGAGTAGTTACGCAATGAATATAGTATTCGAGCACTTCAATATAAGCTGCGATGATACATTTTTGGGGTTTTTCAAAGTGATTGACGATTCCGAGGAACTCATAGAAAAGACTTGTGGCGATACATTGCCAACAAGTAGAATGATTCAGGGCAATAGTCTGAAAGTTATATACAAAAGGAGCGCCGCTGGATGGGGATCATTTTCATTTAAATTCAAAAAGGTGGGTGATATTTATTGATATGTTATTGAAATTAAAATTTGAACCGCTGGATTGTGATCGCTTTGTTGTTGGGATCCAACGTAACTAGCAAGCTCAGCCAGTCAAACGTAGTTCTTATAGTTTTGCAAGATGTTTTAAAAAACGATAAAATAAGGGTATTCACATCGATCTCGTTAGTTTGTTACTTTGCAATTTTAGTAGTAGCGAAAACCGAAAATATCAGATATAGAGTATCGATATCTATTTGTATCGATATTTTTTGTACGAACGGAGTTACATTTTATTTTTTTATGTAATATGTTAATCATCCTCTAGAAATCCTAAACTCCGAATAAAATAACAGTTAGCAATGCAGAAACTGAAAGTAATTAAAATAACATTACACAGCAAAACTATCAGAGAACTATCGATGGGGCTATCGATAGTATCGATGGTTTCATATTGCCGCCACTATCGAATTTTTCTTAGCACTATCGATAGTTGTATATTTTGTTCACACTTTTAGAGTTGAACTATAAAAGATACATATAATATGTTTTTGTTATAAAATGTGTTATTGAAATCTGCGATATCTTTGTGTTTTACACAAGTTCTATTTTGTGAACTTTTTGTTTATACAAATAATCTTTATGGTATTTATTGTTACGAAATAGGCATATTTTGACACAACTTTATCTCCTTTCCCATACCTTTACCGATCATATTATGAGCCAAAACCGGACAGGTAGCCCATTTAGCAGAACATGCATACAACTGAAGATCTGTTCAGATCTGAGTCAAGCGAGAACCCGTTTAAAGTTTCATTTGACAATGTGTTTTCACTTATTTGACGAGAAAGGCCATTTAATTTGACAAAGTGAAAACAAGTTTTCGATAGTATTTATTTATTCTGTTATTAGTCAATGAAAACAAAAAATTCTTACTGACTAAGACGACTAACTTAAGTTACTTAAAATGATTGCTTAAACTTAAAGTTACCAGGCCTCTTGGAAGCGAGATATCCAAAGAATAACATTGATTTAATTCAATTAAAGTTCTGATCAATGGCGCATTAAGAGAATAATACGACTTAACAATTGGAATGAAAAATATATCCACATGCCGAAGACTGCGTGATGGCACATTGAAGCCAATTCTGCTTAAAAGCTCAGGACAGTCGACATAACCTCCTAAAATCTTAGCCACGAAGGTACCTGACAGAAACGCCCTTCTACTAGACAAAGACTTTAAGTCCAGTAGCATACAACGCGAAAGATATGACGGAATTGGTTCCGTAAATTTCATTGAGGATAGTGCAAAACGTATAAATGATTTCTGGATACGCTCTATTCTATTTACGTAGGTAGCATGATAAGGTCTCCAGACAAAAGCAGCATATTCCAGTCGCGATCTTACGAAAGCAGTATAGAGCGTTTTATAAGTATAAGGATCCGAGAAGCAGGAGCAATTACGCCGAACAAAAGCAAGCATAGATAATGNTGACGGAATTGGTTCCGTGAATTTCATTGAGGACAGTGCAAAACGTATAAATGATTTCTGGATACGCTCTATTCTATTTACGTAGGTAGCATGATAAGGTCTCCAGACAAAAGCAGCATATTCCAGTCGCGATCTTACGAAAGCAGTATAGAGCGTTTTATAAGTATAAGGATCCGAGAAGCAGGAGCAATTACGCCGAACAAAAGCAAGCATAGATAATGATTTAGAAACTATGTAGTCAATGTGAGTAGAAAATGCAAATTTTATATCAAAAAACACTCCCAGGTCCTTAATTCTGTCTACAGTTCTCAATTTGCAGTCAGCAATTTGATAAGAGTTTCTCGAAATTAAAAGCTTTTTGGAAAAAGTTATGTGGAAGCATTTGGTTACATTCAAAGATAGACAGTTTTTCTCACACCATAAGTTTAGATTATCTATATCCAACTGAAGGGCGATTGCATCTTGTTTACATTTTATTGATGAATAGATCTTCAAATCGTCGGCGTATAACAAAAATTTGGCAAAAGAGAAACATGAACTAATGTCATTGATGAAGAGCACAAATAGCAAAGGCCCCAATATACTACCCTGTGGAACCCCAGAGCTTGCAGTGAAAGATTGGGAAACCGAGTTGTCAAGAACAACAGTACACACTCTGTTGCATAAATAAGATTCAATCCATGTAAGGAAAGTTGAATGGAAACCCAAAGTAGCCATTTTGGAAATTAGAATTTTATGGGGCACCCTGTCAAAGGCCTTTGCAAAATCTGTGTATATAGTATCCACTTCATAGCCAGATTTAAAGGCTGCATGACAATCATCAACAAATAACGCCAAATTGGTGACGGAAGATCTACCTTGAACGAAACCATGTTGGTTCGGAATGATAATATTACGAACAGCGAAAACTAATTTAGCTTTCACAATGTACTCAAAAAGCTTCGCAATTGAGGTTAGTTTCGAAATTGGTCGATAATTCCCAACATCATTTTTATTACCGTCTTTAAAAATTGGCGTTATTGTTGCCTTTTTCCAGGCATCAATAAATACACCAGAAGTCCGGCGTATTGGTTCAACAAGAGATCCACACTTTTTAAGTAAAATAACTGAAAACCCGTCAGCATCAATTTTCGTAGACTGTTTTAAAGCCAAGATACCTTCTTCAACATCCTTAGATGTGAGAGAGACTGTCCCAAAGGAGAGACATGTGTTCGAGCAATGAGAATCTACATAATCAAATGCGTGAGACTGAACAACGAAATTAGAGCTAAAATACTCAGCAAATAAGTTTGCAGCTTCCTCAACTGATGTCGCTGACCGATTCTTAAAGAATACTGACGTCGGAATACCAGAACAAGACTTTTTTTGCTTAATAAAGTTCCAAAAGG